AGTTTTCTTCAATGCAGCAGGAGTAGCAGCAATTATGCAGGCTGTGCAGTTAACATAACCTTCAGATATGTTGGCAGATGCACTAGTGCTTTTGGAGCGGCAAACCTTTGCAAAGCGTCCCCTTTTATTACAGGATTTGCAGATGGACTCCCGAGCAGGACAGTTCTTCCTTGAATGTATTAGCCCACCACAGAAAAAACATTTGTGTCCTGACCTAGAAGAGTTGGTAGCAGCTGTCACAGTGACACATTCAGAATTTGTTGGAGAGCTCTGTGACTCAAATTGATAGATACCAGGTAGTGCAATAAGTGTTGAATGTTGATTTGAATAAACCTGAGAGTTGAGTTCTGCCATTTCCATTAAAATATCTATATTGTAAGTTTCTTCTAAAGTTAGTGTTAAACTCTCTAACAATCTCGATCGTATCTTTGTGGATGTCATTCCAGCGATAAAAGCTCCACGAATTGTATCATTCTTATTAGTATCAGCATCTACAGCAGTAAAATTGCAGTCTTTTGCTAACTGTTTTAAAGATTGCATGTAAGAATCGATAGTACATCTACATATACTAACCACTACAACATCTGTCTGTTGTCGTCTAGTGGTTAGTATATGACGAGCATGAATAGTATTGTTTGGTTTGATGTATATTTTGTCAAGGGTTTGAATGGATTCGTTGTAAGTGTTACAATCGCTTATGTATGTATATACTCGAGGAGAAATATGATTTCCACAAGGAAAAATTCCTGTAGCTGGCTGTATACCACGTATAACAAAAAGAGGTTAATCTTTGTAAATGGGTATATTTATTTAAAAAACCCTTAAAAGGGCCACATCAATAGAACAAACGTTTTCGGACTAAACAGTCCATCATCAGGTTATTAAAATCGAAAATGCTAGGTCATAATGCCTGAGCCACCAAAATATTAGGGTAAAAACCCTTTAAATTACATTTAGTTATGAAATGTTGTACATTGTGTTATAAAATAACTGTGATGTTCTATATTCTATATATATTTGAAGTCTACAGCCAAAGCAATACCAAGGAGGTTAATATCACATCACCACGCAAATGCATCTCCCTGTAATAAATGTACATAGTGTTGCATACTTATGTCACAAAATTCCAGTGATATGGAAGCAAAATTCGCTCTCAGCTTAGCTTTAGTATGATTTACTCTTTACAGGATGGTATCCCAAGATAGACTGACAATACACTGACAAGGATACACTGGCAGATAGGGAAATTCTTACAGTAGAGATCCTGGTCTGTACTACAGGAAAACGTACGTAGGAGCAGAGTAATGCTAAACTTTCGTTGGTTGGTAATATATTAGCTAAGTTGTGCTGAACATGATGCGACATGATGCGACACATGTTTGCGACAAAAATTGCAGAAGATAAATATCATTATGTAGTTATTAGCAACTTTACCCCAATATACACCCCTATAAGTGGTTCACTTTATTAAAGAGAAAGATGTTGAAACAGCGAGTGGTTCTTTATTCAAAATAGGTGTAAAATGTAAAACCTCCATTGACTTGTCATTTAATAAGGAAATTTGACCACCTGGTGTAAACATTAAATGTTCTATAGAATCCTCATATTCTGAATCAACGCTTTTATTTGGCTTCTCTGGATTGGGTTTCTCTGGATTGGATTTTTTCTGCTCAGAACTTTCATAAGTTCTAAAATTTATGCTTGCCTTCTGGGAGGAATTTTCTTTCTGTACACTTGGACTACAATTTTAATGATTTTTACATAGGCTTTCCAATAAGGCATTTCCTTTAATTACTTTAAGTACAGGGAAACCCATCGAAAACTTATAAAACAGCTAAAAAAGCGTACTATAGAAATCGTCTGGGAATCTCAAAGTGTTGCAAAAGAAACTTGGTCCATAATAAATGATCTTCAAAGTAAAACTAACACAGCTCAAATATTTTCCCTTCCAAATCCTGAAAATCTAATTTTTTTATTTAGCGTATGGACTTTCACAGTACGATAAATATACAAATACAATTACAATAATATACACATATATATTATATACATTATTCAAACTATAGAATGAATGACACTAAATATTAATGTCCAATTTACATAGCCATTCAATTGCTTCTGGAGAACATTCCGCAAAGTCCTGGAGGTTTCCGCGGTAGGCACGATTCAAGCAGTCTGAAACACAATGGCTTATGGTCTGTCTAGATTCTCCGCAATCGCACTGTGGACTTTCTGCACGACCCCACCTGAACAGCGAATCGGCACATTTACCATGTCCGGTACGTATACGATTAAGCCTTGCCCAAATGGACCGGGGCAGATTTGATCCGATGAAACCCTGAGTTGGGGTGGATATCTTAATATAGTCCGATTCCACTGTTGGCATCCATCTTGTTGTCCATTGCCTATGTATATCATAGGAATTACCAATTTTTCGGGCAGATCGTATTGGAGGATTTCTAGATCTCAATCGTTGGTGCTCTTTTGAGATGTCTGGGATATCTTGATGTATTGGTAATTGTACGTTGGCTACAATTTTCTGGTACTCTCTCACTAATGCTGCTGTACGGCGTAGATCTGGTGGAGCAATATTGCTCATAGTAGGCAGCCATCTCACTGGCGTTGATTTTATTGTTCCAGTGATTATTCTCATGGTTTGGTTAAGTTGGACATCGATTTTGCTTGTATGTGCACTATTTAGCCATACTGGTGCACAATATTCTGCCACTGAAAAAACCAAAGCTAGAGCAGAGGTCCGAAGAGTATCTGCAGAATCACCCCAAGTTGTTCCAGCAAGTTTTGATATTAAGTTATTTCGTGTTCTTAGTTTACCGGCTACGTTTGTGAGATGACTTTTGAAGGTGAGTGTTCTATCAAGTGTGACGCCTAGATATTTGGGGTTGTTGTTATGTTTGATAGCTGTGTCATTTAGAGTTACATTGAGAGTATCGCACGCAAGTTGATTCGACATGTGAAAGAGACAGGTTTCAGTTTTGCTTGTATTAGGACGTAAGCGCCAGTTCTTAAAATAGTTACTTAGTGTAGATAAGTCCTCGTTTAGAGCTCGTTCTCCTGCTTCTTTACTATTATCTTGGAAGCCAATGGCCAGGTCGTCAGCATAAGCAAATTTTCTCGATTTTGTTTCAGGTATATCTGCTGTATAAAGGTTAAATAATAAAGGAGCTAGCACTGAGCCTTGAGGTAAGCCGTTGTTAAGTTTTCTAACGTTACTCTGTGCATCATTCATATATACCTGAAACAGTCTGTTAGTCACTAGATTGTTTATCAGCTGACAAGTTTCGAGGCAAGGTATGATTTTCATCAGCTTATAAATAAGGCCCTCTCTCCACACAGCGTCATAGGCAGCCGTGAGATCTATAAATGTTATGGCAGATTTTTCGCGTCTTTCAAAGCCAGCTTCAATAAATGTAGTTAAGTACAGCACTTGGTCACAGCAACTTCGTCCTGTTCTAAATCCAGCTTGTTCAATTGGTACAGCATCCTCAATGGTGTTACATATTCGGTTATATAAAAGTCGTTCTAGTAATTTATAATAGCAACTGAGTAAGGCAATAGGCCGGTAACTTTCAGGCAGCTTGTTGTCTTTGCCAGGCTTCTGGATTGCGATAATTTTTGTTCTATTGAATTCTGGGGGTAGCACAGTTGTATTCACAATGTTGCTAGATCGCTAGATTACACCCCATCGCTAGATTTAGATGGGGTGTAATGATAGATCGTGGAGGCGATCTATCATTACACCCCATCTAAATTAATACTTCGTTAATGTGAATCCAAATATAACATCAACTATTTTGTTACAAAATATCCCATTTTTTATCTTCCTAATTCAAAACAGGTCTTAAATTCATTCTTTATAAGACCAGTTGATAAATCTGAACTGGCTCAAACTCACATAGTATCAAAATCAAATTTTCCTGTAGTACTGATGGACTATTTAAAAAAATTTGTCAAATCTCACAAAAAATGTGTTGAAAGTCCCGATCTCACTAGTTAATGATTCTTTCAAAAAAAGCTATATTTCTAGAGTGCTTAAAGACAGCCATTATTATTCCTCTTCACAAGGGTGGTGAAAATCGAATGCCTGCAACTATATACCTAATACCTACTATTAAATTATGTCTTTTCTCGTAGAAAGCAATATTTTATAACAAAATCAAGTTCGGCTTTTTATCTAATAAATGTATCAGTGATGCTCTTTCCTGTGATACATAAGGTTTACCAAGCACTACACAATAATCTTTACACTTCCACTCTTTTTTGTGACTATGCTAAAATTTTGATTGTGTATATCACGGCATTTTAATAAAAAAAAAAACTAAATTTCTACGGAATTGGATGTACTTCTTTGAATTGGTTCCAATCTTAATTGGGGAATAGAAAACAACTGGTTAGAGCAAATAATACTGGTTCAGGATTGGGTCCCCTACTTTTCATTATCTTTATAACTGACGTCACTAATTTTCACTAATTTAAAAATCGATGGGAAGTTTTTTCTTTTGCTGAATATAGCAGTATCACATGCATAATCTCTCAAATATAGCGACTCTTCGTCCAACTATAACTTCTGATCTACTTCAAATAAAAACCTGGTTCTATTCTAATTTACTCTCTTTTAACCTGGGTAGGACAGTAGTGTTATCCTATAAATGAGCTCCTCAACAATTGCTTCTTAATAACTCCCAGATCAGTATCGTTGATTCTGTAAATTTCCCAAAAAATTTCATTTTTCTTTACCGTCCTGTATCTAATAAACTTGCGTTTATTGTAAAATACGTATCTTACCACTTAGATATTGACTGTATGCTTAATACTTAAAATAAATGATGTAATTTATACCATTGTTTTAAAAAGAATTCTGTTTTAACGAATGATTATACTCTATTTAATGTAGTTAGGGTTGCCTAATTTGTGGCGCGAAAAACGGTTTTCATTTGGTAATATAATTTCCAATAGGTTTTATATCGATTTTCACAAGACAGGCGCTTTTCTTTTCCCCAATTCTGACATGCACAGGAAATGAATCAACCTAAAGACAGTTTATCCCATATTGAAGAAATTTGAGCACAATTACTGGTTTTTTACAGAGTATTATTTTATTTTAAAGTATTTTTCTGTGATAACGACTGGTAAGGATATCTAAATTTTGTTAGCCTAATTTGGGGTGTTTTAGGGAAAATAGAACTGCTTTTATTTTTAAGGTTACCTGTGCCTACCCATTTTTCACATATGTTTCTGTTTTATAATGATTATTCGAGTTTTTATTGTTAGATATTTGTTTAAGTAAAACAAAAAATAATTATTAAATAAATAATAAAACAAAAAAATATATTTTAAATAGAAAAACACAGACAAAAAAACTAAATTTTGATTACAAAATGTAAATTATTATTAAATGTAACAGAATAGCCAGATTTTTTCCACTATTTTAACACGTAAACTGCCATCTTTAAAATTCAAAAATTTACTTCTGATTCAGGGTATTTTTTTTTTGTTAATTGCGAATAAGAGGCAATATATTATTATTCGTTTTATGAAAAAAATTAAATAAAATATGATAAATTATAATTAAATAAATATGGTAGAAGCAGTAGAAGAGTAAAAGTAATAAATTTTACCACAGACCTTGTGTACCATATTGAGTCCTTGTTAAAACGTTTTCTTTATACTTTATGTAAACAATTTTTAAATATTTAAAAAATATAAAAACTTCATATTTGTGTGATTCCTTATGTGTCGAAGTGTAGTATCGCTTATTTAATTTTTGTCGTTTATTTCTTTGAACTGTTTAATTCCTGTTTCATCCCCGTTCTGAGCTATGAAGCTTAAACCTAGACATTTAAAAAGGGAAATGTTTAAGAAGACAACGTCTCAGAGAGCTATGGAAAAAAATGATGGGTAACACGTTCAAAAATCACAAAATTAATGGAGCAAGTTGGAATGGAACGAAATTAAAAAATACTGCTACTGCCAATATATATTTTCTTTTAATTATTCCCGCTTTTAATATTTTCAGATTTATTTTTAAATCGACAAGATGCCAAGCTCAAGGAAAATAATTTTGAAACACGTGATGTCTGGAATTTGCACAAAGATGAACAGAACGAAGCAACTGCCTTCCGATGTAATGGAGACCCCACTAAATCGCTGTCTTAACACATTTGATATTACGTTATTGGGTAAGTTAATAAAGTTTTTCTACTAGTGTATTTTTAATTTTTATTATTTGAATTTTATTTACGAAGTAATAACATAGGAAAGTCTGTGTGTGTAGGTTTAATTTGTTCGTAGATCAGCCATATTTGCTGACGTATTTTTTTTTAATTTTTACATACTCCAGTAGTGAGAGGTAAAAATGTCACGGAACCTCTAGAAATTATACGAGCAAGCTGAATGTTGCTGAGAATGTCAATTCTGGGATCTCAAAAAAGATGCAAAAAAATTTACCACTCCTACCCGCGAACTTCGTTCTTCGTACTCCCAGCGATAGTTCCCGAGATAAAATGCCCTCTTGTCGCCGAGTCTACGCCGAACGCCTACCTACTAAACCAGACTCTCCTCTGTCATCCAGCGATCCGGAGGCGGAATGGCCGCTGTAAGGCCGGCTTACTTCCGAAGCACTACATTCATTCATTCATTCTCCATTCATCCACATCCATACTCCATTCATTAGCAAGCTGCCCCCCTGTCTCGTTCCAGGTAGCACGTAGAAGACCCTCATCGCTCCTAGTAACGCATCACTCCCAGACGGGCATTTCCTCCTTCCCCATAGTCTGACTCACGCATTCTAACTCATACAGTCTGACCTACTTTTCTAGCTTCAACTTCCAGTATCTTTCACTCTTACCTTTGCCGTTGGTCTAGCTGTCTTTCTTCCTCTTCTTTTTTTTTATCACTGCACGGATATAGTTGTTTAGGTTAGTCCAACCTGATTATTTTCACTCATTCTCTCAATCATTTCTCTCGCTGTAACAAAATTCACACCTGTCTCTCTCTCTCTCTCTCTCTCCATTCTGTTCCTTTCTACTATCCATCTGCTGCAATCTAACATCATATGTGTCACAGTGTCCGAGTGTCCACAGTATAGGCATTCATCTGCGTCAGCCTTTCCGAACCTAGTGAGGTAGGTCCCAAAACACCCGTATCCTGTGAGCACCTGCGTCAGGAAATAATCCAGTCGCCTGTGGCCACAGTCTACCCAATCTCTTGTGTTCGGGTCAGCATTTTCGTTCAATGTGCCACATCCTCCGTATTGCTCCATTCTTCTTGCCATCTTTCAATTAACCTTTCCTTTTCCTGTCTTCTCTCGGCCACGCTAAGGTATGGACCTCTTCTCTAATAGAGCTCTTTTCTTTCCACCGCCAAAATATCCAACGGAACACATCCAGTGATATTTCGCAAGGCTGCCACAGACACAGTCCTGTAGGCGCATGCTACTCTAAACAGACTTGTTCTGTCCACTTGTGTCATGAGCCTCCTATAGGCCGTTATATCTATGGCCTTGCTCCAGACAGGTGCCGCGTAGAGGACAATCGACTGTACAACACCGTGTAAGACCCTCCTTTTTTCGGATTTGGGTCCTTCAATGTTAGGCATCACCACATCCTCCCCCAACGCAGCCGCACTATTCGCGTGGACCATCTCCTTCACGTGCTCTTTCCATTTTCCATTCTGGTGCAATGTCAATGTTCTTACAAAAGAACATTGTGCTTCCAGTAGTGCATTCATGTATTCCAGTAGCCACGTAGGCTCCGCCCGTCCTACACCCTTCACCGCTTCAGCTGGTATCTGATCCAGTCCGGGGACCTACCCGTCTTAGGTGAACCTAATGCTTGGACAAGTTCATCCATGGGAAAGGGTACAGACCGTTCAGTTCCTTCATCCCTTCATACACCATGTCATTTGCCGTCCGGAAAGAGCTTTCGTGTTACCTCGAGCTTCTTGTCTATAGGCATTTCGTAAGGAGGATACGCATGGAACTTCTTCATGAAGATCTTGTATCCCTGACCCCAGATGTCCTCATCAAGCTTTTTATACAGCTCTTTCCAATGCCTTCTTTTTTCTGAACGGATTTTCCTGTAAAGTTCCCTCTTTCTTGCGCATTACTCTTCCTCGATCTCCTCAATGACCTCAGGATTGATCCCTGTTCCACCTCTTGCTCTCGTTAACCTTTTTCTCATTGCGATACATTAATTTCTTAGTGCCTTGATGTCCGCAGTCCACTAGTATGGCATCTTGTTGACATCTTGCCGACCTATCTTGCTTCCTTCCATTGCTTCTTTAATGATACTCTCCAGGCTTTCCCCCGCCGGTGATTGACCCTACATTATGCTCACTCTTCATTTAATCAGCTCCTCGTATACTTTTCAGTCGATAGACGATCAAATCACGTTCAATTTTTTAGCATTCGACAAAATCGTACTGCGGCGTTGGAACGTGAGTGGCGGGCTTTACATATATCTAAGCTGTAGAAAACTTTTCTTCTGGAAGATTTACTACTAAGAGTAATTTTGTAATAATTAATTTCTGCATTTTTCAGGAGTGGGTCATATGGTAGGTGCTGGTATATATGTTCTGACGGGGACTGTTGCAAAAGATATAGCCGGTCCTGGAATAATACTCTCGTTTTTGCTAGCAGGACTAGCTTGTCTACTTTCGGCTCTTTGCTACGCTGAATTCGGCACTAGAGTTCCAAAAGCCGGCTCTGCTTATGTGTATACCTATATAAGTATCGGTGAATTTTGGGCCTTCGTTATCGGGTGGAATATACTTCTGGAACATATGATTGGTGAGTAATACTATTTTATGTTTTGTAGATTTTGTAGTTATACACTGGTTAGGGGAGGGTGGGGAAATATCGACCACTTAGAGCTATTAAAAATTTCAAGTAGTAATCTTTGGACTAATATGACCACGACGGGATATGTGTTTTTTTATTTTATCCATTCAGTTTTTTCAACTGGTTTTGCAAAACAAATATATTTTTTATAACGTGCTTTGTTAGAAAGAGAAAAAACGGGTAATTTCGACCAATGGGACAATATCGACCATAATGTAGGGCAAAATCGACCAAGCACCAATATTTGGAAATACATTGTATTTCAATATTTGAACATTACTTCACAGTAAGCATTGGTCACAAACATACACTGGCGCTTTTTCAGTGCTAGTGCAGATAGTGTTAATACCCTGTGAACAATTTCTTTTCCTGATCTTCAGAAAAAACAGGTTTTCTTCTCATGTTTCCAAGTTTATTAAAAATTTTTCAATTATTTTTATTTTTTGTTATTTTTCTAGCCGGTATTTAGGTGGCACACGCCCTTCCGGTAGGGATCTATGGAGGAGTATCACTGAGACGCAAGTCCTTATCTCTTGCCGTACTGCTCCACCATAGGCCGATCAGACACCAGCATATTCTAGTCTCGCCGCAGATTCGTTTAGAATTTTAAACTGCTGCGTTAGCCTTTTTGTTTTCTGTACACCGAGCTGGGGATCGAACTCACCTCCTCTGAACCACTCGCATTGAAGCGAATGAGAAACCGACCGCTCAGCCCGCTTGGCTATCATTACGGCCGCTTCTTCGCCCCCAATTTCCATCTTTATCTGTCATATGCAGTTGCCTCTTCTAAGTCTCTTGCCGCCATTGCTTTATCAATATCGTTGCACCAACTTCTCCGTGGTCGTCCTCTCTTTCTTCTTTCAGAAAGAATCCATTCCAGTACTCTGTCATTCTTTTAACATGTCCGAACCAGATTAATTGTTTTATTTCTATGTCATCATTGATATTTAGCTCCATTTTCATTTCGTTTCTTATTTGTTTGTTTTTAACTCTCTCCAGTTTCGATCTACCGCAGCTTCGTCTCAGATAATCCATTTCTGTCGTCATAAGTTTGTTTCTATTAGCTTTGGTGACGTCCAATATTTCCGAACCGTTAAGTGTAATACTTTGGACTATACTACCGTAAATGTGTTTTTTGGTTTCTCGTCGAATTGTTTTTTGCCAGAAAAGAAAGTTTAAGGCACGGGTCGCTGCTCTGCCCTTGTTTATTCTTTCCCCTGATTTCATCTGCGCTATTTCCCTTCTTGTTGAAAATGACCCCCAAATATTTGCAGGATTTCATGCCTTTGATTTTGTTGTCTTCCAAGACTAGGTCACATATTTCATCTGTTCCCACTGAGAGATATTCACATTTTCTCATATTCATGTTTAGACCTGCCACCTCATATTCTTCTTGCAGTTTTCTTACCATATACCTAAGATCGTAGCTAAGGATCTGTCCAAATAGATTTTAAATAAGGTGGGTGATAGACAGCAGCCTTTTCTTAGTCTCTTTGTTGTTTTAGAAGGGGAGGTGATTTCTTGTCCCATTTTAATTCTTGCAAAGTTTTGTTCGTATTTTTTTGAGTGGCGTTAATAAGAGTTGGGTTTATTTTCAAGTTACCCATTTCTATCCATAGTTGGGAGATCGGTACACTGTCATGTGCTTTTTCTAAATCTACTAAAGCTATATGGGTGTCTCTATTTCTCAGCACTCGTTTTTCCATTGCAATTTTTAATGTGAAAATATTATCCATATTACTTTTGAGTATAGTCGCCTATAGTAGCAATCACTGCGATCCCACTATAGATAGAGTATTGGAGAGATATACGATTGTCTCCATTCCTCTGGAACTTCTTCTCAGTTTTAGCATCTTTCGAATAATTTTCGGATCATTTCAAACAGTTTTGATGATCCATACCTCATCAACTCTTGATGTATTCCGCCTGGGCCTGGAGATTTTCTTAATTTCATTCCCTTAACTGCTTCTTTCACTTGTTCTATTGATATTTCTATTCTTTCTTCTATTTCCACTTCTTCATTTATCTGTTTAAACCTTTCTCTTCTCTCTGTTAATAAATTCTCAAAATGCTCTACCCATGTGTTCTCTGGTATTCTATTTATTATGACTTTGTTTTTTGTCGCTTTTCTCATCGTTTTTATAGTTCTCCAGGCTTCAGTGCTCTTTGTCCCTCCTGTATAGTTGTCTAGGTATTGGCATTTTTGTTCCCATGCACTATTTTTCTAGCTCAATTATCATGCACGATATTTTCCCACTAGCTACGCGATATTGCCCAAACGGGTGGGGCAATACTGCGAAAAGAACGAGTTGCTTATTTGTACAATATTTAAGTAACATATATTTTACTTTTTTTAATTTCTATAACATCTTAAACCAATCATATTTGTGCAGAGTTTACCAATTTTTTAACTGTTTATTATGTAAAATGTAAATTTCTTGGATATTTCTGCTCAACCCCGCGATATTACCCCTACTTACCCTGGATGTTTGGAGACTTGTATGATTCGAAAAAAAATGTCAAAATTTATAACTTATAAAAGTTAAAACAATTTCAATATTATCCTACACGCATTTATATTTACAGGTGCTGCTTCAGTCGCACGAGCTTGGAGCGGTTACGTAGATTCGCTTTTCGGTAATGCCATTAGTAACGCCACTATCACTGTCACCGGAGAGATGCACGAACAACTCCTCAGTAAATATCCAGACTTCCTAGCCTTTACTGTGTGCCTAATATACTCCCTTTTACTAGCCATCGGTGTCAAAGGCTCTACTATGGTCAATAGTTTCCTTACCCTGGTTAATTTATCCGTTATGGGCCTTGTAATCGTTGTTGGGTTTATTTATGCGGACGAGACGAATTGGACTGAACAAAAGGGTAAGTACTTATTACATAAAGTACCTTAATTATCATTGTACAACTTCCATTGTGTAAAACTAATTAGATGTTCAGTATTATACTTACAAGAAATTTCACTTTCCTTTTATTTCTTGATACTTTGTTTACACTTTGCCTGAAATTTGTAGGAAAATATTATTCTATTTTCGGTGAATGGTATTAGTTTCTTAACTTACTTTATATGCAAAGACTAAAATCAGTTTTATTTTAGGTGGTTTTCTTCCTTATGGTGTAGGCGGTGTCATAGCGGGAGCAGCAACTTGCTTCTATGCTTTTGTCGGCTTCGACAGCATCGCAACCTCCGGAGAAGAAGCGAAGAATCCATCTTTCTCCATACCAATGGCCACAGTCCTCTCCATGGGAATCGTAACGATGGGTTACGTTCTGGTTGTATCTGCCCTCACCCTAGTAGTGCCATATTATGACATCGATCCCAATGCTGCGCTTCCATCTGCATTCGGAAAAGTGGGAATCCATTGGGTCAAGTATGTTGTGTCTCTAGGTGCCATCTGTGGAATGACCACGACTTTGTTTGGATCTTTGTTCTCGTTGCCAAGGTAATAATACGTATTTAACCATGGAGGTATAAACATAGATGGACACAGCAATAAGATACCTTTAACGCACAATGTTTTGAAGCTTCGATAAAATGTGATGCTTCCGCAATGAGCATAAGCATGCTTGAATTTTTACTCGCGGGTAATTTTTCAGATTTTAAAAATTGGAAGTAGTAATAATGTATAAAAACAGATTCAAAGAAATAAAAAAACGAGAGTTTAACTATTAACAAATCACGTCTTTATAGAAAAATTAAAATACAATTTTATTTGCTTTAAAATTAATACAATTAAATATAGTTGAATTCAAGTTAATTTTTTAATATGCTGGACGTAACTTGAATAAGGAATAAAAATAAGGAATTTTCAACAATCGATCGAATAGAACAGAACAACTTAGAACGAGATCCTACAGCATACACAAGGAATAATATGAGGAAAATAACAATACCGTACATAAAAGGACTATCAGACAAACTTAAAAGGATAGGAAATAAATTCAACATTTCAACAACATTCAAAAGAACAAACACGTTGAGATCTATTTTGTCCAAAACCAAACCTAACAATGAACAAGAAAGGACAAAGAATTGCATTTATAAAATACCTTGTGAATGCGATCAGTTTTATTTAGGTGAATCATCAAGGCCATTAAATGTTAGAATAAGTTAACATCAATCTTATATTAAAAATAAAGAATTTGATAGATCTCAAATCTGTAAACACGCATGGGATAATGAACATATGGTTCAATGGAATAATTCAAATGTAGTCCTAAAAGAAACGGATGGTAAAAAAAGAAAAATCAAAGAAGCGGCTCTAATTATGCTAAATGAGGCCAATTGTGTCGCTAATTCCTCGGCAGAATTTAGTAGGATCTGGTTACCAATATTGAAAGAGGAAGTTATTGATAAGAAAATACCAGTATTAGTAAGTCAGTAACCTATAGAGGATACATCATTTATGTTTAAATAACGTAACATATAAAATCAGAATTTTGATGTTTGTTGAAGGTAAACTAAATTCACGAACAAATACTTACAATGTCGGGATAGTATTATGAGGTTTTTTTCCTGGTTTTCCCTCATAATTTACTATGGAATCACTAACAGGAGAATTTTACTGTGATCATGTCGTTTGTTTGTCTTTTTAAAGACGAATTACATGCTATGATTTTTTTCTGACGGATATTCTCAAGTTAAAGTTGATTTCATGTAATCGAATGAACTATCTTAAGTAAAGTCGTCCCAGGAGCGCAACTCAACAATATTGGCAATATCATTTTAAAGTTGTCTACTTTAAAATGCATAATGTATGTCTGAATTGTCAATATAAATGAGTCAGATAAAATTAAATTATTAGAAGAATTTTTCACTATGTAACAAAAAACAAAATTTGTTTAATTTACTGTTTGTATTTTGAGAACGATTTCCGAAGTGGAAATTGAAACGTCAATAAACGTATTTTTATCTTTAATTGTGGCTGATTCCCAGTTTAATAGTAATTAATTTACAATGCCACAAGAAAATAGCTTCAGAACAATATTAAAAAACCGTTATGGGCCCAGCGTTATTCAAAATTTTAGGAGATTGGAAATTCTATAATACAAGAAACTGGCACACTGTCAAAATTTTTTAATAGGTATCAAAATAATGCTACAATAAAAAATCTTTATGTTTTCTCCTAAATTTGTTACCCAAATAGTTCGATCGTCAATATTATTTAGAAACCTACATAGAAAAATAAATGAGTTTTATTCATTTCACTAATTTATTTGTATCCATGAGAAATATTAAATTAAAAAGGTACTAAACAGATCTTTTTTAATCAGATGATGTTTACTTACAATTTAAAAATGTGTACTAATTTCATGAACTCATATCTTATTCAATACATTAATGAACATGAATTAACCCAATGGTACGCCTATTAAAATGTAAACAAACACGCTTCCTTATTTTCTCATCTTAAATAATGTAAATTGTATGCACTTACAAATTAAATGAGAGATCGGGATGTAAATAAATATTTCGTTTATTTTATTTCACTTTTCACAAATATCACTCAAAATACAGCCAAAATATCGGAAAATAACTTTTCCTCATCTATTGTAAAAAGTAAACAAACATGAAACAGCATTTGAAGTTTGACGTAGATCTGTAAGACAGAGAAATGTAAACAACCGTTGCCATTTATAAATAGTTTTCAGTGCTTGTACATATAAAATAATTGATTGATATCTATTATACGCTATTATTAAAGAATAATGTACACTGTATGCACACTTGATATTTTGATTACAATTAAATATATTAATCTAACCAATAAATTATTATTTTGGTTTGATAGCACCTGTAGAGTATAAAATACGGAGTAACATTTTCAGCGACTCGCGAATAAGAAATTTTAAAACAAAACGTGACAACAGTTGAAGGTACTGAGAATGTGACCTATTCAAATAATTTTGACTACGCAATTTTATGTAAATAACTGAGTCCATCTGTGTTTAAACGTCCATGTATTTAACAAATAAAAATGAATTAGATAGCTGGTGATAATAATTTTTTCATTTATTCGTGTCAGAAGCATACATTTTTAAGTAGACATAATACAATATAATATAAATAACCACAGCACATAAATAACAGATAAAAAATGGGACAAGACAAGAATAAAAACAGGACTGTTACACACTTGTTAATCAAGAAGACCGACACACAGGGGAAGCCCTACTTTATTCGGTTGGCTCTGGAGCTTATCACCCCAGCACGAAGCCTATTAAGCGCTCTTCATGTCGCCCATCCTTCTTTGTGTCCGGGTGGGATGTTCTCGAAGGGCCTCATTCATTGATTACTGTCTAGTAATAGTTTCAATTTTGTGACCTATTCATAAAAATTATCTTTCTATTCTAGATGTATGTATGCTATGGCAACCGATGGGCTCCTGTTTGGATTTCTAGGGAACGTCAACTCGAAGACTCAACTGCCTCTAACCAACCTGATCCTGTCAGGATTCTTCTCGGCCTTGATAGCATTAGTATTCGATTTAGAAAAGTTAGTAGAGTTCATGTCGATAGGCACTCTGCTTGCCTACACTATCGTCAGTGCATCAGTTATAATTTTAAGGTAAGATTGTTGTTTTTACGTTTTTAAACTACCAAAGGTTTTGTTCCAAAATTTCACCATCAAGAATCGGAAAAACGCCAAATTTCTTAAACAAATAACTTATAGACACAAAAATATATTTAGACTCAAATATCATACTTTATTTTTATTATTGTACTGTAAACCAAATCACCTAACATATTAACTTTTATATAATACCAGGCCATTACTACTAGCTGAAACTGGTTGTTTTTTTTGTCAGTCCTGTGTAATAATATTTGTATGTGATTATTTAAGTAATTTAATTTGTAGGCCATTTAATTAGGGATTGTAATTTTAACTTAAACTTTTGCAAAAAATCTTTGAGATAATAAGTTGGCCAAACCATGGATTTTTGAGCAATGTTAGCAGCCTACCCACTGTCAAAAAAAACAATGCTTATAGAACCGAACAGAAGCCTCGGAATTGGACGGATACACATATGATGAACCACGCAAGAAAAAGGACAAAAAAACCAAATAATCTACGAACTGACACTTGGAACATCGCATCGGGGAACAAACGGGAACAGGAAGTTGTGCAGGAATTGGAGCTCCATAAAATTGATATATGTGCCCTGACCGAAACAAAAAAGAAAGGGAAAGGAAGTGAACATGAAACAAATTTATATTCCTGTACAGCGGACTAGATAAAAGCAAACGAGCTCAGGCAGGAGTAGGCCTCTTAATGCACAATAAATATAGTAACAGTATTCAAGAAATAAGATACATCAACAAACACATGATGCTGGTTTGCCTTAAACTTCACCAGACGATACTTAATATTATCTCCGTATATACATCGGATAACAACAAAAACAGGGAAGACAAAGATGCTTTTAATGGACAGCTCCAAATACTGGACACCACAATAGCCAGTAGTAAAACAATAATTCTCGGCGACTTAAACGCCAGACTAGGCAACATACCTGTGGCTGGAATTACACAAAGATTTAACGAAGAAACGCTCAACGACAACGGAGAAAGATTTCTAGAACTTTGTTTAATGAATAACCTCCGAATTAACAACACATAGTTTGACCACCCAATACAGCATAAGATCACCTGGTCAGATACAAGAGGATGTAACTCTATAATTGACTACAATATAAAAAACAGACAAATACACTCCAAGAATATAATAGATGTGCGCACTCTATCTTCCGCCAATGTAGGATCCGACCATGGCCTGGTACTAGGAAAAATAAATATAGCAATCACCAGACAAGGCAAACGAAATACAAAAGGAGAAGAAAAGTTAAACATAGAAAGCTTAGAAGAAGAAGGGACACAAAACTTGTATAGAAACAGACTAACAGAAAAGCGAAATAGCCATAGCCTAGACAAATAGTTTACAAATAAACTTTACAAAAAAAACTTCGCATTGCAGGTGGACGAATCCACTGATATTAGTGGCAAAGCTCATTTATTAGGATTTATTCGATTTGTCGACGAAGGTGAAATAGTCAATCAGTTTTTATGCTGCAGAGAACTTACAGCACGTACAACAGGTCAGGATGTATTTGATTCCATACGTCATATTTAGAGAAAAAAATATCATGGGATTTTTGCGTAGGAATTTGTACGGATGGTGCCCATTCCATGGTAGGCTCCATAAAAGGTTTTTGTACCCTTGCAAAAAAGCGAAATGAAAATATCATATCTACGCACTGTTTCTTGCATAGAGAATCTCTAATTTCAAAAACGCTACCAGCTACTTTGAAATCTGTATTGGACCAAATGGTTAATGTCGTGAATTACATCAAATCAAGACCACTAAAAACCCGTCTTTTTAAACAACTCTGCATCTCAATGGAATCAAAGTATGAATGTTTGTTGCTGCACACCGAAGTTAGATGGTTGTCAAGGGGCAAAATATTATGTCGAATTTATGAACTTAGAACGGAGCTGTTAACTTTTTTCCAAGAAGAAGGTAATGACACATTTACCACATATTTTAAAAATGATGCATGGTGCACTAAAGTGGCATATTTGGCCGATATTTTTAATTATTTAAATGGCGTTAACTCAAGTATGCAAGGCAAAAATGAAAATATTTTAACATCCACGGACATGCTGTCAGCTTTCCAGAAAAAATTGTCATTTTGGAAGAAGCGCATTTTAGAGACAAATAAAATGGATATGTTTCCACTGCTTCAGAATGAAGGTGATGAAGATAAAGAACAAGAAATCACGCGTATAGTTACAGAACACTTATCACTATTAGAGGAGACAATTGCCAGGTATTTTCCATCTCTGGACGTAGAAAAATATGACTGGATAAGAAGTCCTTTTAGCACAAGTAATATAGCCAATTTCCAGTTTTCTCTGAACCAAAAATAAGAATTTATTTCGTTGTCATCTGATCGTACTCTGAAAATTAAGTTATGTTCAGGAATTTTGGATCGTGGTCCAAGAGGAATATCCACTTCTTGCCAAAAAAGCGATTAGTATTTTAATACAGTTTTCAACGTCATATTTATGTGAATTTGGGTTCTCATCTTTAACAAACATTAAAAATAAGAAACGGGAAAGGCTGCTAAACTTAGAACAAGAAATGAGAGTAGCTCTTTCCCACATCAGGCCTGATATTGAGCAAATTTGCAAACGACACCAGGCACAAGTGTCTCACTAATTTGAATTATTTACTCATATGATGTATTTTGAAAATTACGCTTTTGTTAATTTTAAAAATGTTTTTTGTTTTCATATTTTAAGTAAAATTTTACAAATTTGAGTACGTATAATAAATTTTATTACAGAATTTATGTGCTAATCCTAATTTGTTTATTAATATATGCATGTTATTGCTTTGATGTTCCGCAATTTTTTTCGGTAATTAAAAGTGTTCCGTCGCCACAAAAAGGTTGAGAACCACTGGCCTAGAGACTAAAAAGAATATAGAAGAAACCTGGAAAATTAATAAAAAATGTATCCTACAAGCAGCGGAAGAAGCTTTAGGTAAAAGAAAAGTTAACAGAAATAAACGGGAAAAAGCGAACATGGCAGATGAACAACAAGGCTTCCGGAAGAACCTCAGTACAATAGAGAAGTCTATTGAATATGGACAACCAAGCATACATGTGCGTTATAGATTTAAAAACTGCTTTTGACAGGGTGAAGCGAAATGACATCTTAAATTTATTACAAGCTGAACAAATAGACCATCAGATAATGACAATTAATGAAAATAACAAGAACAACAAGACCAGAGTTATAATACCAACAGGAGAAACAGAATTCATAGAACTAAAAGGAGGAATCCGTCCACTCGCTCAGCCCATTGTTATTCAATATGGTGATGCATCAAATAATTCACGAAGTAAGAAAACAACACGGATACCACATGGGAGTGCATAAAATCGCGATACTATCCTGTGCCGATGATGCAGTACTAATTGCTGATAACGCAGATGACCTACAAAGGCAACTCCACACCTTCAGTATCACAGCAAACAAACTTAATATGAGAATATCAGTAGAAAAAGCTAAATGTATAGTGATTAGTAAAGAGCCGCGTAGATGCAAACTAGGAATAGACGGCAAAATTGTAGAACAAGTAATGAAATTCAATTACCTAGGAGTAGAGATCACTAGTGACAGGGATATAAGAACAAAGACCACAAGGCAAGCATCAAAAGCGGTAAGATGAAGTGGTTGCCTCCGAGAAACCATATGGAGAAACAAATATCTGACCACGGAAAGCAAAATGAAAGTATACAAGACAACAGTAAGACCAATCCTAACATATGCAGCGTAAACAAGGACCGATACAAGAAAGACGAAACAACAAATCAACAATATCGAATAAGATGAATAGCGGGACGCGAAAAATACAAAATTCAAAATATTAATAGGTGAATAAAAACAGGAAAAAAAAACTGGAACGAACATTTAAAGCGAATGGGACCAGATAGATTAGCGAATATCTGTAAAAACAACAAACCGTATAGCAGAAAACCCGTTGGAAGGCCCCCAAAAAGGTGGAAAGATAATGTACAGTCAACAACGACTGAAACAGAATAAGAGGTAGACAAACAGGCGTAATCCTAGTCGCACGCAGAAGAAACCATGGATAATCAAGTTCAATTCCTCGAATATAATTTCGTTGCTATTACTGTTGTAAAAAGTTTAAATACCTAACTTAATAAATGAATGATCTCTACTTCTCCAGATGTCAGTTTTCAGTTTGTCCTCTTTATTTAGTCAGTTTATAATATTTCGATGGCATAATTTTTCTCGTAAAGTCAATTATAACGGTCTTTTATTTTCATCAATATTGCTTTACCCTCATTTTAATAGTCTATTTCTAATCAATTACATTTGCTTAATTATATATTACTGTCTGGACATATTTCAACTATAATTTTGTTTATTCTGTAGATATCGGCCTAGTTTCGAAACCACCGTAGCAAAACCACCGCCAGCTCCAAGCCCCACTTCCGATTTGTCGAGCACCGCGTCGGATATGACACCTACGCCTGTCTCCGAAATAGTCAACTTGACAGGAACACTCAGAGTACAATACAGCTGGTTAGGACCTGTTTTCGGCAACTGCGAGCCTGGATCAGTTGTTACCGGTGCTGTTTTTATTTACACCTCGTTCTGCTGCGCCCTCTGTGTACTATTTCAAGTGTCAACGACTGATATTAAAAATGGTATCTGGTGGACTATTGCTTTGGCTTCCTTTTTCCTCCTTATTATGGCAGGATGTGAGTATATAGGTTACTTGACAAGTTTCATTGCGTTACTAGATGATAAGAATCAACACATTTTGCTTTCTAGGTTTGCTGGTGATTATAGCTCACCACCAGAGCACCACCGGCTTAAGATTCAAGGTTCCTATGGTACCAATATTGCCTGCTATCAGTATTTTGTGTAACATCGAATTTATGGTACACCTGAATTACCTGACTTGGCTAAGATTCTTCGTGTGGATGATTATAGGTAAGAAATTAGTGGTGAGAACAACATACCAAAGAGTCTAGGTTCTATGATTCTAAATTAAGTTGCGTTAGCTTAGGTGCATAGACGTATAATACCTAGACTAAACCCATTCCGCAGGTGCGACAGAGAAAAAAGATGGGTGCAGTACTTGCATAATCTATCTAATCGGCGGAGTTTATCGACCACGTGACCTTTTCACCATATATCATGTAAACATTGCCTTTATTTATATGTATAAATGATTATTTTCTCGAGTAAGGGTAAGTGGTCCACAGTGAGACGGTTTTTAGTCATTCGAGATTTTTTTATAAATTTTTCTATATATATTGAAAACAAATCAATAATCTGAAGCTATTTTCTTGTGGCATTTTAAATTAATTACTATTTAACTGGGAATAAGCCACAATTAAAGATAAAAATACGTTTATTGACGTTTCAATTTCCACTTCGGAAATCGTTCTCAAAATACAAACCAAAATTTTTTTTGTATTTTGAGAACGATTTCCGAAGTGGAAATTGAAACGTCAATAAACGTATTTTTATATTTAATTTCGGCTTATTCCCATTTAAATAGTAATTAAATAAATAATCCTGTAAATTGGTCTTCATTTTACAATAATACACAACAGAAATAAATTTGAACTTGAAAACATAAGTTTAAATAAAAATCTTTTTGACGTTGCAAATTGTCTCCCTGTGTCCCACAGTGATCCACACTGAGACACATAGCGGTCCACAACGAGACATCATCATTCATAGAATATTTAGTGCACCAAAATTCACTTCGAATTGAACACAATTATTTTGCCTCTTTGTTTTTCCATATAACACTGGTACAGGTAAAATCATCACATTGGCTTGCGATAAAACACTAACAACTTCAGGAACTTTAGATAAAAGAACTTGTTCGATTTATTTTTTCTTATCAGATAGTTGATCTCATATTCGAAATCATCGGAAACATTATTCAAAATGTTGCCAACAAAATATTTTACTTACTTTTTGCTTGCAAGCTTTACAAGAACAGTCATTAATGACTGCATTTCTATCCAGTTCTTCGAATCTTGTTATTGGAGCATCAAGGTCGGCATTATATTCAGATAAGCTGTTCAGGGATTCTACTTGATCACTTAAAGAACTATTTTCGGATTCGATGAAACTTCTTTCTTTGTTTGAAGTTCAGTTTTTTCTGGAAATGAAACTTTTTCCGTGTTTTCTATTCTGCACTCGTTTTCTTGGAGCGACTTTAGGGTAACCTCAAAACTCTTGAGGGCTCGAAAACAAGTTTGTTATCATGAAGGTTGCTTCAGAATTATGATCAATAGCTAGTAAGTGTTGTTATCACAGTATCAAGATTCGAAGTAGGATCATTTGCTCATGTTTGTCATTTGTGCAGGAATCTCAAACTAGAGATTCGACAGTACTATTTGAAGATGTTGACTGGTCAGGCCGATCTGTGACGGAACTAGGAAGAAAATTTTCTTCTGCAAAAACATCCCGATCATAAGGGAAAATACCCGATATACGGAATCTTAATCTTATATTAATCGAAGTCATTGAATGGTAAAATAATCGTAATACATTCTGGTATACTGTATAGGGTCATTGAAACTTCGGGGTGGTGCTTGAACTAAGAGTCGACAGCTCCGTGATAGTGTGCCTTAAATGAAAAATAAACACCAACATCTAATCCTTGTAGTTTATTACTGCAATGGAGCAGAAATACTAAAATGGTCACTTCCTTGGATTTGGCTAAATCCACACACTCAAGTAAAAGATGACTTTCGTGGATATCGAATAACAGGAATGTTTAATTTTCAAATGAGGAATTTGTATGGTTTATGAAATGACGCGTAACTTTCACAAACAACTAGCTGTTCATCCAGCCCGAAGGTGTTGCAAGTCCCAAACTACCAGTTGACGCATTACAAAGCATATACGATTTAAAATTAGCCCTAGGGTGGCCCTAGGAAACATAATAGCTGGTGGAATCGTGTTTCTTGAACCACTTATGAAGCATCAAGTAATTAGTATAGACCCTCTTTCGGTACTCCTTAGTTTCTTGACTCACTTGTTTAATCCCTTTCGTGCCTGCTCAAGATATTGGGCAATTTATTGAAAGATGTAGTATGTTTATTGAAAGATGTAGTACGCGAGAGACTACGTCCTTCTGGTTGTTTGATGCTCAAGTTGAGTGATCGTTTTAAAAATCCTCTCATTCTCATCATCATTCTAAACCGGCAGCTCTATTTTTTAAACAATTATTTGGAATCCGAATATTACTTTTTTAAGCCATTTCGTATGCTAAACGGCGACATCCAGGAGTTGTTAGGCCTTAGTTTATTCTTGAGCACATTCCGAGGTATTCTGCCAGTGCAAATTCTTGTTCTTTCGACATAATTTGGCAACATTTATAAAAAAGTCTCATTTTCACTTCGGTATCAGGGTTATTCCTTTGTTTTTTGACGTATCTGAAATAGAAAGAATTTTTTACGCAAAACCTAATCGATCCTCATTTCCTTTACAATTTACCTTGCTAAAGCTTGAGATGACTCCCCTTCAGTTCTGCTGCTTTTCGCAATGAAAAACCTTCTTTTGTGACTAATTCTCAACGGCTTCTTTCATTTAACTTTCAGAAAAACCAGCAATGTTAGTCTTTCTTTTTTTTTTCACCAACGCCATCGATGGTGTACAGTGAAACGCGACTCAGTCTGCCCCACTAAGAATTTTGTCTCTATACCCCACAGGTACAATTTCACCAGGTGATATTTTGTTTAAATTCAATAAAATAAACATAATATCGCTATGTAATTACATGCAAAAATACCTAAGCTTTACTTACCATCAATATTAAAGTACTAACTCAATGCACAACTGAATAATATCGGTCGATGTGAGGAATAATATAATTACTTTCGGAAGCAAAAATCACACTACCAGCTGACACGCAAAAACGAACAAGCGAACTGAACTAGCTAGTATACTAGACTCTTCGTGTTGAGACAACCTTATGGTGTCTCAGTTGATATGTCCTCAAAAAATGCATTGTCTCACTGTGAAACATGTCTCACTGTGGACTACTCACCCCTATTTTATATAATTGAATTTGAAAATGGTAAAGAAGTGTCACATTTGTGAAAAAGAGCAATCAAGTGTATATGAAAATGGATAATTCCATAAGTGAGCAATTGATATTCTTTAATAATATTTAGAAAAACAGTATTTCTAAAAGTTCAATTAATTTTTAATATAAATGTAATCAATTATTATGTAATTCACATTTCCTACACAATTACGAATCAGAATTACGCAACAAATGGATTAGTGTAGTTGAAAAGACAATATTTTTCAATAAAGCACTTATACCTATATGTAGTGACCATTTTTATCAAAATGATTTTAAAAATTTCGGTTTAAAACCTCAACAGCTCAAAAAAGATATTTTGTCAACTCGAAAGATATCAAATAGTATCTTGAACGTTTTTAAATGTTTTTTATTGTTAATTATTTTTTCTAAAATATGTGGCTCGAAAAAAATTGTGAACAAAATACTGCATGTAATAAAAAGAAATTTTATTTTTAAAATTAAGTATTTTTGGTATAGATTTTATTGATTCAATTTCGATTTTCTAAAAATATTTACAATTTTTAATTAATATATAATCTAATTTCAAAGTTTGGCAGTGGGAAGGTGACGTGGTCGATAAACCCCCTCCATTAGAAAGAGATGCAAGCACTTTTTACCTCTGTCGTACTTGGGGAACGGCTTTAAATTGCAATGCGCCCTTATATGTCTTGTATGTCTGCAATATGTTTCTGATCTAAATCCATATCGTTATATTATTTATAGGAATGCTAGTCTACTTCCTATACGGAATCCATCACAGCAAAGAAGGTGAAGCAAACTCATCGTACTCTATACTGATGACGTCTTCTGAAGCTGGCAAGGAGAAATGGGGCTCGACTACCAGAACTCAAGCAATTAAAGGTGCTTTAACCAGGAGAAAAACATCTCATGGAGATAGAGGAGCCATTATTGACGAAGAAGATAGCACAGAATAAAAACAGTTAGATCAGGTTGATATATAAAGGATTCTTTTGTTTTATCTTAAAGAAAGTACTCGTTTGGATTTAGAATAATTCACAAAACATTTTGAACATTTATATCCGTATATGTTGCTATTTATAATCGTAGATCATTTATTTATTAACGAAGCAAATATTACTGTTTTTAATTTCTGATCCTTGTTTGTTCTAATATTTCATTTTTAAAGTATTTAGCTGCATGGTTGCAAAAATTCTAAATGCTTCTGTAGCGATAATTTACATCATATATACCATCAATTGTATTTTATTCTCTAGTACTTCCTCTTTATCTATTGAGTCCATGATATACTTAATAATCTCTGATCTAGCAGTTCCTTAAATGTTTTCTTAATTTTTTATAATAAATATACACGTTTTATCAGACAATTGGTTAGTTAATCGAACAGATTTTTGCCTCCAAACAAGTTTCATTTTGGATTTTTGATGTCTTTTTTTTTATTGTCTTTGTGATAATTTATATGCGATGAGACTCAGTCTTAAATGTCTTCCGATTGCGGATGAAACTTCAGATAGAAATAATTACAACCACTGCCTATAAACTGTAAGGGAGAAACAAATTCAGTATAGTAAGCGAACTGCAAAGAAAACTTGGACAGAAGAGATTCTTCATGAAATGGAAGAACAACGTATAGCTAAACTAAATAATAGCATCGTCCAGTATGACCTAATAAACATGAATATAGGAAATAAAATACGGCAAAAAAAGTGACTAGAAGAATAATGTCAAGAAGCAGAGAGGTTAGTTACATGAGAAACATGGCTCATTTAATTTCCATCAAAATTTCAAAATCAAAAAAAGTACATTATCGGATGTTTCAGGAATAAAACCATGACCTTGGTTAAACAAAACAACAATATATTAACAAACAATAATGAAATTATTATTTGTCGGAGGATGTAGGTAGTGACTATAGCCTGGTGTCATGTAAAGGAAGAACCCAGGAGAGCGGCGCCAACACTAACAAAAATCAGATTCAAAAGAATAACTAAAGATAGATTCCACGTAATACTTATACAGGAAAAGGATATTAGAGAAGAAAGCTGAAAAAACTCAAAAATATTATAACTAACGCACCAACAAAAGCACTTGGAGGGAGGAAAGTAACTAACACTAACATATCAAAGAAGAAAATCCCATGGTTTAGAGAGGAATAGGTAAACCTAATGTGAGAAAAAGAGGAAAGAATTTTTACAATACAGAAAACAAACACAACAGGCATATAACCGCTATAAACGAATCCTTAATCAAACCAATACTTTAGTCAGAGCTACTCAAAACAGATGAAACACCCTTCTCACGGAACACAAAGAATGGACAGAGGACAAAGAAAAGAAATGATCAAACTAATAAAACAAAAGGCAGATTCAAAAGGAAACATGAAAGAATACTTTCCATCTTTATTTGCTAAAAGTGACGATAACGAACCACTAACACCAGAACGGACAACAAACGAAGAAATAAACATTGAGGAGGGAGAGATAAAAAAGCATTAAGGAAATTAAAAAATAGAAGATCACCAGAAGACGACAAAATACCGAATGAACTCCTAAAGTAGGGAGGAACAGATCTGGCTACCACAAGAATAGAGATCAAGTTTCTTAATACCTTCCTTTAAAAAGGGCGACAAATAGGACTCGAAGAACTAGAGAGAATGTAGCTATGAAGTTTAAATAACTAGGTATCAAACTATCTAGTTACAGAAAGCTCAAAGCAAAAGTGAAAGAAATTAAAATATCGGAAAAGAAATGAAAGGCAGAATATACATAACAGTCATCAGACAACTAATATCGTACGCGGTAAAAACACGACCTGACACAGAGAGAACTACCTGACAATGTTATCAAAAATTAAAAGAAAAAAGTATAGGCGCCATGGGAAGATAGCATCCTGAGGTAATGAAATTAATAAAATTTGAACATCCATGTCGATTATTTAACAATTTATATAATACAGAAGCAATACCACGTTCTTCTTCTTATTCTTTTTATGTAGACATAGCTCTGTCTGTTTTTCAATGTGCCTCTAATAAGTTGTTGTTCCATCGTTTTCCTGGTCTTCCTACTGATCGTCTTCCTATTGGGGAACCGTCTCTTGCTGTCTTTACTACTCTATTTCATGTCATTCGGCTTATATGATCGTTCCATTCTACTCTTCTATTGGTTACCTAGTCCTTAATGTTCTCCACCTTGCATCTACGATATATATTTGTACTTCTAGCTCTGTCCCAGAGTGTTTTGGTTGCAATATCACCTGAGTGGATTAAATTTATGTTAATAACTTTACCTCAAAATGCCAACGCATAAAATTATGAAGATTAGAGTATTTTGAGTCTAATTAGTTATGCCTTAAAATATTCCTAAAAATTATTCATTACATAATATACAAAAATGTGCAGAAATCAGCGGCAAAACCCAATTTGATCTTAGAAATGCAATAGGTACGACAAAAGTCATTTAGAGTAAGGAATTGATCTGCTGCAATGTTGCGTACGTCACGGGTTGATTATGTGATACATGATGAATTAAAAAGAGCTGGAACCGAACGTGAACTAACTATAAAACCACAACAAATCAGAAATCAACAAAAAGATTTCTATTTGTGTAAATATGAAATATTAAGATTGTTTCTAATAGAACAGAGGGAAGAAGAGGTACAGGGAGAAAGTAATATTCGTAGCTGCGAGAGATATGAGTTTGCTGCGGAATTACAAATGCATGAGAAATTCTTACACTTGCTAAAAATGGGCATTTACGAATAAATGACAGATGAATGTCTACATGCTGGAAGAATATGGCACTTAAAGAAGAACAAGAAGAAGAAACCTATAAATACCAGTAGTGTAAACTATCCTCCACTCTTTGATAAGTTACTGGCTTGTTTTCCTATTTTGCACTCATAAGTCATGAGGAGTCCACTGATTGGCCCTTTTTTATCTCGAGTGAAGAAATAAAGAGGAGTAAATAAAAAAACGACAGAAAACTACAAAGAATAAGACAATAATTTATTATATTGTAGATCTACAAACACACACGATTTAATCGGCCTAAACTAATATGCTAGACTACAAATTGTTGTTTCGCTTTTCGCCGAAACATACACCATGATGGTTCCCTAATGCACCGGCTACACACTACGAAAGCGTGCTTGCAGAGACTCGTTTGCACAGGTAAGAGCATGTGTATGGGCGGCAAGACGGTATCCCACGCAGGCATCTAAGCGCGGCCTGTACTCTCGTCGACATGCAGAAAGTTTTACCTGTGTGTATGATGTTCAGATACCTTACATACCCATGTTGTAAAAAAGACACATTAATTTCATTATAAAGGCAGTGATGAGCATTTTGCTGGACGTGAGAACTTTTTGAAGAGCGCCGTGGAGCCGGCAATATTGGAGGCATCGTTTGGAGTAAGCCAAGGCTCGATTTGGGCTGTAACACCATTAGATAGGAAAGGGAGGATCCTACTTACTTGAAATTTAATATATTGTTAAGCCTTCAACCAATATATAAATGCAAATGATACGAAACCATATAAAAAATATTACAAGGACCAAACTTACTGTTGCTGAGCCAAACAACACTGGTCAATATAATAAAGTAACGCAAGCTGGAATACTTCGGTCACATTATGAGACACCCTGAAAAATATGATCTTTTACATCTGATCATTCAGGGAAAGATCCAAGGTAATCGTGGTCCTGGTAGACGAAGAACATCATGGCTGAAAAATCTAAGGCAATGGTATGGAAAATCAACTACATAGTTATTTAGAGCTGCTGTCATTAAAGTCACGATAGCGAATATGGTAGCCAACATCATATCCAACGATCGATAACGGTTATGGAACTAGAAGAAGAAGAAACTTACTGTTAGCATTTGCAAACGATATCCATGTAATAGAAATATCGTATTAATAATAAATGAGGCTTTCATCAGATTCCAAAAGGAAGCGGAAAAGGTGGAGCTTATAATCAATGAAAACAAAATTAAATATATGAAAATGAGACTCAGTAACCCAAATAAACATAAAATTGGACAGAACATCACCATCGACAAGTTTAACTTTGAGCGTGTCAGAGAATTTAAGTATCTTGGGACAACAGCAACTGAAGACAATAACGGGTCAAAGAAATGAACAATAGGAGCAGCAACAGATGTCTTTATACTCTTTAAAACATTATAAAATCGAAACAATTAAAAAATACAAAGATACAACTATATAACAACAGTCATACGACCCGTGTTAGGGCCATAGAGCAACTACGTGTTTGAGAAAGAAAAATCCTAAGGAAGATCTTTGGGTCTGTGCTCGATAAAGCTAACAAAGAGCTCTAAGAACTATATCCAGACGCTAACATATTAAAAGAAATAAAGTACAGAATACTCCAGTGAACAGGACACCTTAGAAGATATTATAACGAAATAATAGAGATGGCACCTTAAGCAAGGCTGATATGAGAAGAAGCTCCAACTGGAAGAAGACCACGTGGACGACCTCGTTGACATAAAACTATGGGCATGGAGAATTGGATGGATATTGCTCAAGACAGAGACAAATGGAGGCATGTTGTTGCCATGGAGTAAGAGTAAGAAAGAAAATATTACAAATTCTTTGAGAGATTGTAGAATGAATTCAAATACTTTAGGCAGATATGTGAAAGAGCGATTCTCCAAATGCCAGAACTCCACATGCCAACGTTACTGCCAAACCAAAAGTTATTGGAATAGTTTTTCTGCAGATAATTTCTCTTTCCCAATCTTTCTCCCAAAAATTAGGAGTAATTCTTCGAAATCACTTGATGTCCAACGAATGAACTTTCAGAAACCCATGTTCTCTTCAAATTTCAGTGTTGAAAGTAAATTGCAATTAAAATGTCCTTGTGCAAAAATTTCACGCCTCCACTTAACTCATATAGCCTCCTTGATATAAACAGCGATTCCAATATGATCAATCATAGTTACCAACCAATGAACAATAAAATATTTAAATATGTACATGAGATAAGCCTCTCGTTAAAATGTTATATCCAAGTGAGTACAAAGCATCCTAATGTATCCAAATTATATCCTTGGTACCTTGTGTTTGGTTTTTAATCAAAAACACATACCTCTCTCGTATTTTTTATGACCGCGTATCATTATTAGTAGCAATTGCTCCTCAATTAATTGTATTTCACTTTTAATATGAAGCTTCATTTACTGATATTGGTGTTCAAAAGTTTTTCTTTATTGTTTGTGTAATGACAGAAAAAATAAAGAAATAATGATACGTTGATATGTTGATGTTACCGTACGGATAAATTTTAGAAAATTATTTATTGTACATAGAAAAAGTCAAATTAAAGCTTATTAATACTAGTGTTTTTACTTTATTCCTATCTACATTACAGTTTTCAAAATGGTCGCTTTCCACACTGCGTGGGCTTTGCAAACTGTGACTTGAAAAATCTTTTTTGTATACTCTATACCCAGGGCCGATCTTAGCGGGTATGCAACGAGTGCTCATCACGCGGGCGGCCAAAACAAGGATATAAAGTAGTAGGTAGTAGACAGAATTTCTCCGGCTTCTATATAACATGTAGCTTCTCCTTTTTAAAAATTTTAAAGTGTTTGTTTGTCTTTGTGTATTGTATTGTTATGACCAAATTTACATGTATGATATTCTACTCATGTCGGATAGGCCACAACTGACGAAATGCCCCTGAAGATGATCTATTGATCGAAAGTACTTGGGCAAGATTTAATTAATCACTGTGTTCGATAGTTGCCTTGTATACTATCAAAGTTTAATTATTCGAACATTCAACCTTATATTGAATCATGTATCTGTGCTTTGATGGTCGATGAAATGTCTATATACCAGAAAATAGAATGGGATGGTAAAAAGTTTTTAGGTATGTTGACATAGGAATTAAACATCAAAACGATTCTTCCGAAATTAAAGCAAAAGAAGAAATTGTATTCTTAATAGTTTAAATGATTCATGGAAGCTGCCGATAGGCTACTTTTTAATCGCTGGGTTATCAGGTGTTCAAAAAAGAAATCTAATAAAAATGCGCTTCAAAATAATGCACGAAGCTGATGGCACAATTACCAGTTTAACGTTTGATGGTGCAGTATCAAATATTAACATGGTTAAACAACTTGGAGTTGATTATCGATTAATTCCAATAAAGTATATTTTCTACATCCAGCAATAAATCAACCAATATATGTAACATTTGACTTACTTTAGATTATTACAAAAAATTTTTGACGGGAATAATAAAGCGATTAAATGGAAATATTTACAAAAATTAATAGACATTCAAGAAAAGAAAGGCCTTTATCTTGCAACTAGGATAACAAGAAGGCATTTAAATTGGTATAAGGAAAAAAGTAAAGTGAAATTAGCTGCCCAAACTTTCAGCCAAAAAGTTGCTAAGGCATTATTTGACAAAAAAAGCTCAAAAGAATTTGTACATAGCGAAGCTACTCAAAATTTCATTGAACATATCAATGATATTTTTGATATTTTAAATAGCCGAAATTTATTGACAAAACACCTAAAATCTAGTTTACAGCAACATAATAAACAAGCGATTTTTGAAAAAATTGAAGAATCTATAAAATATCTTAGTTCACGTAAGTGTTCCAAAAATGGTAAACCCCTATATCAAAGCCAAAGAAAGACGGGTTTTATTTAGCCCAGGGAAATAAGCATTTTTTCATGACACTCGTCCGGCCAGGCAAACGACAGTTGTTTTGAGTAGTGTGGACCTATGTAACAAAAACCTATATGTTTCCTGCAGTCGATTTTTTGGACTAAATTAGTTATTAACAAATTAAGTTCAAAAAACGGAAAATTTTTACTTTTTTCGTCTATCACCAAAGAGTGAAGTAATTTAAACAAATTTTAGAAGAGAGGAAACTTATAAGTTATATAAAAACCTTCAAAATGGCGTTCTCAAAATGTTTCTATCCTTATTTGTTGTTTAGAAAGTTGCAAAATAAGTCAAAAATTTCGGTTTTTTATAAATGTTAATAACTTTTTTGAAAATAAACTAATAATATTTATGTTTCATGGAATGTTGTGTCTTGTAGTTCTTAAAATAGGGTTAGAATTTCAACGTGATCGGTCTAATAGTTTAAAAGTTATTTTATTTGTTTATCCCAAATTAACATGTTTTGCAACAATATAAGTCAGAAATTTATACAGTTTTAGAAATTGTAAGGATTGTTTCTGGTAGAAGAAGACTTGTTTTATTATTTACATTAAAAAAAAATAGGAAAATTAATTTTAAATATTGCAAAATAATTTTGCAAAAACATGTCGATTTTTTGCTTATAAACAATTAGAATAACTTTTTAACCATTGACTGTAAAAATTTTGTTTTTACGTATTTAAAAAGCTTGAATTTTTTTACAAATTTAAATAAAAAAAAGTTTGTCCTAAAATAATTTGGTACAAAGTTAGCCTCTTTTTTTATTTAATTCATAGCACCTTTGTTTATAACAATTAAGAAATCTAATTAGCGCTATTTAATAGAATATACATTATAGTTTTAAAGTACTAAATTTTAAAATTATTGCCCTTTAATGGAATCCTCCACAAAGCTTCAAAATGTATGTAAAATCGGTCGGCTGTGAAACTCTCGGGAGCTGAAGGGAGGGGGAAGGCCCTGTTAACTGTATCTCTGTTCCTTTTTTATGTATTTCAACGTTTCTTTTTGAACTTGTATGTACTTTTTGCGTACATTACGAATATGCATTATTTCAATAAATAAATTGTCAAATAAACCACCTAATTTGTTTAAAAACAATTTTTTTTAATTTTTTTAGTAGTATTTAAGTTAAGTTTGAATGTAAAACAGAAGTACTTTGGGGAATAAGCCACAATTTAAGTTTATAATAAGTTTATTTTTGACGTTTCGATTTCTACTTCGGAAATCTCTCTCAGAATACAAAACATTAACAAATTAATCAAATTTTGTTTTTGGTTACTTGGTAGAAAATTTGGTTGGAAAATTTTTCTGATAAACTCTTCTGGGTGATTGATTAGGGTAAGGAAGCTCAGTAGATCTGTTTTAGTAAAAATTACAAAAAAAAGTTATTGACAAAACATGTAGACAGCTTTAAACTCGACATTTTAAAATTAGTTACAATCTTACAGGGTGTTCTATAAGATAATCGCAGACCAAACTTATGTTTTTTAAATGAATCACCCTGTATTTTATTTTAAATTTGAAATCTGCTTTACTTCCACATCACAACAATGTAAAGTTTTATTATGTTATACCGGGTATTTAAAAAGATATAACCAATATTACCTGAAAATCGTATCAAGTTTAACTTCCTGTATAATTAAAAAGGAGTATAGGACCATTGATCTATTGCAAACATAGTTTTTTAATAATTGTTAAAAATTATAAAACATATTCGTTTTCATAATATTCGTTAAATCAAATACATGGTAAGTCAAAATGCAAGTACATTATTTTCTTGGTAATATTAAATAGAACACCCTGTATTTTATATCACTATCGAAAAGTAATAATATCGTACTTCAAATTTTATTGAGTACTCCCTATACATAAAGTTATTAGTTTTCTAGATATTTTTGTTTTTCCATCAAAGTACAAATTTTGAAATTTTAACGTTTACCAATAATTATTGTGAGTTGACCATGACTGATTTGTCAGAAACTGACAGTTTGACATTATTGTTTATTAATTCAGTATTGGGGTACATCGTAAATTAGCAACAATTATTATTTAGCAATTCAATAATTTATTCAATTTAAATTAGCAATAATGAATTTTACTACTGATGAAATGATAGATAAATATGATCTGGATATTGGGGGAATGCAATAAAAATTCATTACTATCAGCTAGAATTTATCATGAACGGTTTCCAGATAGGCGGCAACCTAGACAAGATACATTCGAAAAATTGAAAGATCGATTTAACCGCACTGGTTCAGTGAAATCTGAAAAACATGAAAGAAAAAAAACTAGTGTGACAGAGGAAAACGAAATGAGTGTGTTGATGGCAGTTACAGAAAACCCACTCACAAGTATAAGGAGTATTTCCAATAAGCAAGAACTTAGTTACTACTCTGTTCAAAACATTCTATCTAAAAACAAGATGCACCCATATCATATTCAAAAGCACCAAGAATGAAATGATGATGATTTTCAAAAACGAATAGTATTTTCTGAATGGGCCTTAAAAAAAATTAATGAACAGAGAGTTTTTTTGATTATTATTATTTGGTGCTGAAGCTGCATTCCACTGAAACGGTTCTGTTTCTATCATTTCTATCATTTCATCAGTAGTAAAATTCATTATTGCTAATTTAAATTGAATAAATTATTAAATTGCTAAATAATAATTGTTGCTAATTTACGATGTACCCCAATACTGAATTAATAAACAATAATGTCAAACTGTCAGTTTCTGACAAATCTATCATGGTCAACTCACAATAATTATTGGTAAACGTTAAAATTTCAAAATTTATACTTTGATGGAAAAATAAAAATATCTAGAAAACTAAGAACTTTATGTATAGGGGGTACTCTATAAAATTTAAAGTACTATATTAGTACTTTTCGATAGTGATATAAAATACAGGGTGTTCTATTTAATATTACCAAGAAAATAATGTACTTGCATTTTGACTTACCATGTATTTGATTTCACGAATATTATGAAAACGAATATGTTTTATAATTTTTAACAATTATTAAAAAACTATGTTTGCAATAGATCAATGGTCCTATACTCCTTTTTAATTATACAGGGAGTTAAACTTGATACGATTTTCAGGTAATATTGGTTATATCTTTTTAAATACCCTGTATAACATAATAAAACTTTACATTGTTGTGATGTGGAAGTAAAGCAGATTTCAAATTTAATATAAAATACAGGGTGTTTCATTTAAAAAACATAAGTTTGGTCTGCCACCATCTTATAGAACACCCTGTAAGATTGTAACTAATTTTAAAATGTCGAGTTTAAAGCTGTCTACAAGTTTGGTCAATAACTTTTTTTTGTAATTTTTACTAAAACAGATCTACGGAGCTTCCTTACCCTAATCAATCACCCAGAAGAGTTATCAGAAAAATTTTCCAACCAAATTTTCTACCAAGTAACCAAAAACAAAATTTGATTAATTTGTTAATGTTCTGTATTCTGAGAAAGATTTCCGAAGTAGAAATCGAAACGTCAAAAATAAACTTAGAGGAAAGTGCCCAAATGTGGACCATCCTCCTAAAGCGGACCCCTAGCTTTAAGGCGGAAACGCATTAGGGAGTCGCGGACGCGACTCGCCTCGTCGCAGTCTAGTCCAGCTTAGATTCTTTACGTT